TATTAGGAGCCAGGATAGATATGAAAGAGCTACGTGTGGCTTGATCCCTTAGTAGGGTACGTAGGCAGCCTGAAGTTACTAGGTGCAGCCACATATTAGACCCCACTTAGGTGGTCTTATTGAGTTTGGGTTGGACCTCGTTGCTGGTCCCAAAACTTGGTTGAATTGAGACTCGTCCTGTGGACTGAGCTAGTGAAGGTGTGCGTTTTTAGATTTTGAAGTTGTTTTATGCATGTTGGATGCATTAAGTTATTTTAAGAACTTTGTGGGCAATTCTGCTAGAATCATTTGAAGGCCGGAGGCCATTTTTGTAAATTGCATGAGATTATATTGTGCATGCTGGCATTTGGGTTATAAATGTGTTTTATGCAGGTGGAAATTTTGGGGAAATGTTCAATTTACAGGGGAGACTCTGCCGAAATTTCGGCAGGAAGTCTCGTGGCCCTAATCCTCTCTGGTAAACGAGGACATAGATTTAAGGAGTGAACCCGGCATGGGGGTGATGCCGGGGTCTCCGCAGGGTTCGTCTCGGGTTCTGGGAAATTCGGGACGGGTCCTGTCACCTAGAATGTATGTTTGTGGACCCCGCACCTTGTGTGTGCATCCTCAAGTTGTGGGATCGTGATGGGTTCCGTCACGGGACGTCATCATTCTGACGCGGAGGACTGTTGGACATGGATGGATTTAGGGTATTGATGAGTACATTGAAGGGTGTCACGTTCCTAGAAACGTGTCTATCCAAATTGTCATATCTCAATATCCTATGTATAAGGAAAATGGAAGGGCTGAAAGTATTGAATCCGCTGAGACGAGACGAAATCGTCAGAGAAAGGTGATCGACAAGTTACAAGGGAGTGAAGAAAACATTGTGGGCAGTTCTGCTAGAATCATTTGAAGGCCGGAGGCCCTTTATGTAAATTGCATGAGATTATATTGTGCGTACTGCCGGTTGAGTTATAAAATGTGTTTTATGCAGGTGGAAATTTTGGGGAAATGTTCAATTTACAGGGGAGACTCTGCCGAAATTTCGGCAGAAAGTCTCGTGCCCTTAATCCTCTATGGTAAACGAGGACATAGATTTAAGGAGTGAACCCGGCATGGGTGTGATGTCGGGGTCTCCGCAGGGTTCGTCTCGGGTTCCGGGAAATTCGGGACGGGTCTTGTCAATATCACCCTCAATCAAGGCTTTGGGTTTTTACACCCCAAAAAATATTGGATACAAAATCCATCATGGGTGTGTAACCCTCAATCAAATACCCTGAATGGTATATCCCATTTTGGGCATAAAACTCACTCAGTGAGTTCTCAAGAGCACAAATCCAATTTGGGTACAAAACCCACAAACAAAATCATTGGGGCTTTAATCTCACAGCAAATAAAAAAATAAGCTGTGCTTGAAAAGGAAGACAACCATGTTGGCTATAGCTCGGCCTGATGCTGCAGATAGCAGCAGCAAATAACAAAGAAGAAGGAAGACTCCTGTTGAAAGAGAAAAGGGAAAGGGAAGAAGGTTTTATGAAATTAGGTTCTGTGAAACTACTAGGTTCTGTTTCTGTTGCTGCTACTCTGTTGTTATGCTGCTGTGTTAATTAGGGGGTGGTTGCAGTTTGGTAACCGCGAATTTTTACTCAAACCGCAAACCGACCGACTATTTGCGGTTTGGTGATTTTTGAAACTGCAAACCGACCGCGGTTATCGCGAATTAGCGGTTTAAAACCTCAAGTTTTCAAGCATTCACAAAAATATAAATTAACAACCTAAATAAATAAATACACAATCTCAATTTCTCAAGCATATAAAGAAAAATCCAATTCAAAGTTAATTAAAGTTACAAATTAAAAGGAAAATGCAATGCACCAATGTTACAAACTAAAGTTACAAACTCAAGTGTTGGTGGTGAGTGGATTTGAAGAACCCCGTTGTATTGTTTGAGCACCAATGTTATCCACAAATAAAACAATATAGTTTAGTACATTTTATTATAAGAAGAAGAATAAATAACATTATTATAAATAAACTAATTACTTACAAGTTGTCATATGTTTCATTTCCTTGTATAATTCAACCTCATCATCTGTGCGGCTATACTTTGCGGTTTGCGGTAACCGCAAGTTTTGAAAATCAAATACCGCAACCGCAACCGCAAATGCGGTTCGGTTTACCGCGATTGCGGTTTCATTGCGGTAAATTGTCGGTTGGTTTTTGCGATTTTTTAGTTTTTCGGTTTAAAATGCCACCCCTAGCAACAACAAACAAAACTTGAAACTAGTTGGCCTTTGGGTGTGTGAACAGGCAAGGAAGAAATTAAAAAAAAGGAGTGGCCACGTTTTTGGTTGGCAGTTCCATATGGCAGCTGTAAAAAAAAAAAAAAAAAAAAGGAAGTTCGGCGTTGTTGGCAGAGACCAACATGGAAAAGTAAAAATTCCCAACATTACTCAATTCTCTCCTCCCTCCACAAAAGCCCAATATATTGAATGGGTGGCCAAGTAATTACCCATTATAGAGGCCCAAATTTCCTACCATAAAGTTTATGGATTAACTTAAAAAAAATCCTCATAGTCATATTTGGGTTCAAATGCAAATATCAATTATACAGAATTAGTGGATTCATCAAAATTGCTCATTATTTTTCTTGGATATTAACAAAAAGAAAAATGGTACAAAAACCATCCAATTTTCCCTATGGGTCATCTACCCTTGTAAATTTCAATTCAAATCCCTCAAACACAAATTCTAAATTAGTGGGCCACACTTACCTATTAATCCCCAATTTTTCTCATAGGTCATCTACCTATGAAAATCCCCAAATTGTCTCAAAGACACAAATTCTAAATTATTGGGTCACACTTACTCATTATTTTCTAATTTTTCTCATAGGTCATCTACCTATGAAAATCTTCAAATTATCTCAAAGACACCAATTCTAAATTATTGGGCCACACTCACCCATTAATTTCCAATTTTTCTCATGGGTCATCTACTCATGAAAATTCCAATGAGATTAAATTCAAATATCTCAAACATAAATTCTCAATTAATGGGCCACACTCACCCATTAATTTCTAATATTTCTCATGAGTCATCTACCCATGAAAATCCCAATGAGATTAAATCCAAATCTCCCCAATACAAATTCTCAATTAGTGGGCTACAGTCACCCATTAATTTCCAATTGTTTCTCATGAGTCGTCTATCCATGAAAATTTCAAGGAGATTAAATTCAAATCTCTTAAACAAAAATTCTCAATTAGTGGGCCACACTTACCCATTAATTTTCAATTTTTCCCATGAGTCATCTACTTATGGAAATCTCCAAATTGTCCCAAAGACACAAATTCTCAATTAGTGGGCCACACTTACCCATTAATTTCTAAATTTTACAACTACGTCGGTTTGATCCCTTAAAGGGTACGTAGGCAATCTAGCATCTCACTAGACACAACCACAACCAAATTTGAATCACTGGATAATTCTAACCACATTCGCCCAAACACTTTCCCAAATGCAAATGCCAATTGCAGAAAATTAGTGGGTTTATCAAAATTGCTTATTATTTTTCTTGGACATTGACAAAAAGAAGAATTGTATAAAACCATCCAATTTTTCCCCATGAGTCGTCTATCCATGCAAATTTCATTGACATTAATTTCAAATCTCTCAAACACAAATTCTTAATTAGTGGGCTACACTCACACATTAATTTCCAATTTTTATCATGGGTCATCTACCCATGAAAATTCCAATGAGATTAAATTCAAATATCTTTAAAACACAAATTCTCAATTAGTAGGTCACACTTACCCATTAATTTCCAATTTTTCCCATAGGTCATCTACTTATGAAAATCCCCAAATTGTCTCAAAGACACAAATTCTAAATTATTGGGCCACACTTACCCATTAATTTCTAATTTTTCCTATAGGTCATCCACCTATGAAAATCTCCAAATTTTCCAAAAGACACAAATTCTAAATCATTGGGCAACATTTACCCATTAATTTCCAAATCATTTCCGAACTACGTTGGTTTGATCCCTTTGAAAGGGTACGTAGGCAATCTAGAGATTCAATCTAGATACAACTATCCCAAACACAATTTCATATCGAATCCCTGGTTTATTCAGCTAAATTCACTCAAACACTCCTTAATCAAATTCATTCAAATTCCTCCTTTTGCAATGATCTTTTATTCATTGCAAATCTTTGTACTACGAGTGGCTTGATTCCCACAAGGGATACGTAGGCACCCTGAGATTGGACTTGGGAGCAGCCGCAAAATCAAACGCACACGTTCTGTTTCTTTATGATTGAATCAAAGGGTTTTCCCTTGTAACAATGGATTGTACTTAAGAGACTTGCGTCTCGAATGGGTCGAACCTAAAATAACAAAACCCCATTAATTAATTAGTGGTGGTGAAATTATGTTGGGAGATTCACATTTTCCCTCAACAAGAGCCAATTCTTCTACTTCAGAAATTTATCAATCTTAGAGCTTATTGGTTCGGTTAAAGCCCCCTTAGCTCACATTACATGCTCTCTCTTTTTCAGGCAATCTAATAACAGATTATGTTTATGAGCAGCGTGGCATTGCAAATCAACTCGGTGAGAATCAACCTTCACTTTGTTTGTGTCGACTATGATAAACGAACTTTGCTGAGATACTGGTGCATGCTCACACAAGTCAGCACTGATCAGGCTGAAAATGCTCCAGAGAGTTTGAATCATGAAGCCTTCCTTGAATCAGAGGATTGGCGACCTTAAGTCTTAATTGAAACTTTACTTGCTGCCAAAGGTAATAACATTCTGTTGTGAATTTGTTGCTACTCTTCAGGTTGCACCAGCCACATGGTTTAGTAAGTCAAGGCAGAGGGTTATAAAAACTTGTAATAGTACACGCTATATATGAATATTATTATAACAAGTCCTCATGAATACTCTAGCAATGGACAGCTGGTAGAGTTTTTATCTCGTGCCGTACATATCAGAGGTGTTCTTTAAATTATCATAACGCATGCAACACGCTTGAAAGAATTAATGTTCAATTTGAATTGGTCACCTGTCATATTCTAGCTATATCACCATTCACAAAGTCTTGGTCAACCTATTCACGTTGCTTTCTGGAATTTCCTAATCACTGGAATTTCTTGTATCTTGCAGTGCACATCCCCTCTCACTAATGAAAGAGAAGTAACGGTATCTTGATAGTGATAGTTTTCCTGCTTAGACAGCATTTTATTTAACTAATATAAATTAATATTCTCAGGCAAGCTAGCGCTAATTAATTAACATATGAAGAAGCATTATATATATATATATATATATATATATGCAAGATGATACTGATCAGGTGTTAAACCAAACAATAGAGAAGCAGAAATTAAGTTGGTCTCTTGTGTATATGGAGTTTCAAGGGAAGAAGCAAACCATCCTCTGCCTGTCCTTTGTGACCTTGTTTAGCCTTCTAGGTCTCTTGTGTGCTAAAATTGATGGCAGTCCCAATATTGTTGTGGAAGAGGTTCATGTTGGTGTGATTCTTGATATGGGGTCAAGGGAAGGAAAGATTATTCTCAGCTGCATTTCAACAGCGCTGTCTGATTTCTACCATCTGGATAATAACTACAGCACAAGAGTAATTCTGCACACCAGAGATTCCAAAGGAAAAGCTCTACATGCTCTATCAGCTGGTAAGCCACATGTTAATATTTTAGTCTTTGTACTATAAATTTAATCTGGGTTGTGGACGGGAGAGGATCTGGTCGGGATGAGGGGGAAGGGGGTTTGACCAGGATGAGGGAGTCATGGGGGCTGTGGGGGAAAAAGACTTTCAAAAATAAAAGCTCCTCATGTCATCATCATCAACTATTTCTACAGGCCAGTAGTTCGACCAAGGCTACAGATGTGCGTGTGATTCCAAACTTTGTGTAGTAGGGTTTTGCTTTTTAGGTTTATATGGGTTTTAATTTTTAAGGGCATTTGTGTCTATTTAAGTGAGTTTTTGGTTAGTTTAAAAGATTTTATAAAAACTGACATTTTTGAAAGTGGGGGTGAAATATTGGCTATTTTTGATAAAAACTCTGATGGCTTTGAGGATGTGGGGATGGGTGCACAAAGATAGAAGAACAAAGGTTTTTTTTATATTTATTTATTTAAATAATTGAACTTTATATACAAATTTGATACGAAAAAAACTTTATGTAGCAAAAGTACGTAAATTTCGGGAAACTTGCATGTAGTAAAGTGAAATTTACCCTAAAAAAAAATTATAAGAAACTATCATTGTATACTTCTATCCTAAACTCTACTCGATCCTCAACCAAATGCAGCTCTAAATCTTTTGGATAAGATCAAAGTGGAAGCAATAATTGGTGCACAAACAAAAATGGAAGCAAACCTATTGGCAGAGTTAGGAGAAGAAGCTAAAGTCCCTGTATTGTCACTTTCTGAACTTCGTACTAGTCCTTTCGGTGCTCCTGGCGAATATCCCTTCTTTGTTGAGATCACACAAGATGAAACTTCTCAAGTTACGGCAATCAGTGGCCTTATTGAAATGTTCAAATGGAGGGATGTCATCCTTCTATACGAGAACACAGATTATGGGAGAGACATCATTCCATTTTTTATCAACTCCTTTGAAGAAGCAAATGTGACTATTGTATATAAAAGTTGCATTGCTGCCTCCTCAGCAGATGAACAGATCATTGAAGAGCTCCGCAACCTCACGAAGTTGAAGACGATGGTATTTGTGGTGCATGTATCACATTTTCTTGTTCCTCGCCTTTTCTTGAATGCAAAAAAGTTAGGCCTACTGAGTGAAGGGTATGCTTGGATTATGACATCAACTAGCATGAATTTCTTGCATTCTTCCATGGACCCATCTGTAATTGAGTCAACGCAAGGAGTGCTCGGTTTGAAGTCATATACTCCAGCATCAACCCGCCTCCACAATCTTACTTCAAGATTGAGGAGGACATTTTACATGCAGGATCCTAACATAGAAGTAAGTGCGGTAACCCCAGATGGAATTTGGGCATATGATGCAACTTGGGCTCTAGCTGAAGCAGTTGAGAGGACCTGGACTTCTACAGGATTGAACCTAGTGAATTTAAACAATATTACATCCTCCAAACATGGACTTCTGCTTCTTCAAGAGATATTGCAAACAAGGTTTAAGGGTTTAAGCGGTGAAGAAATTCAATATCCAAACGGGAAGCTAGTTTCAAGTGCATTTGAGATTGTGAATGTCATAGGAAAAGGGGACAGAAGGGTTGGCTTTTGGCCATGTGAAGAAAAACACACAAGAGATTCCTACCCACTTAATAACAGAAGAAATTTACTTTCCACCAATGATCTCGAAACAATCATATGGCCTGGAGGATCATCAACCATCCCAAGAGGTTCAAAGATGCAATTGAGTAATAGTTCTGAAATAAAACTAAAAGTTGGCGTTCCAGTGAAAAAAGGGTTCAACGAACTTGTGCATATGAACCATGGTATTCAAACCAATGGAACATATTTCACAGGCTTCTGCATAGACGTATTCGAGGATGCAATTAGAGCATTGCCCTATGAAGTAAATTATGAGTTGGTTCCATTTGAGGTTTCTAATGTAACTTACAATGATCTTGTTTACCAAGTTTTTCTCCAGGTATGCTTAATTTGAAATTAAAAATTTATATCAGGTGGAATATAAATATTATCTTGGATAACTTGTAATACAATAATAGATTTGCATCTCATTATATTACATTTTAATGATTTAATCTTGCTAATTTTTTATTTTTCGTTTTCCTGCCACACACGTTTGCATATTGGGGAATGTATATTAACTAGAAATTCGATGCTGTTGCTGGGGATACCACGATCACATCGGAGAGATCTCAGTACGTTGATTTTACAATACCATATACTGACTTAGGTGTGGGGATGCTAGTACCAAATGAAAATGAAGACATGTGGATTTTCTTGAAACCTCTTTCGGCAGATCTGTGGATCACAAGTGCGGGTTTCTTTATCTTGACCGGTTTTGTTGTGTGGGTAATTGAGCGTCCTGTGAACAGAGAATTCCAAGGCACACCTTCGCAGCAAATCGGAACCATATTATGGTTTGCCTTCTCAACCCTTGTGTTTGCTCATAGTGAGTGCACTATATCTCACTACTTCTTTCAATTATTCAAGCTTACTGCTAATTAGTCATTGCACATCTTAATTATATCCCTTCTGTTTTCTGATTAATTAACACAGATATGAGAAAGAGTAGCATTATGAATTATATCCATTCAGCTAGTTTCAAATTACGAATATAGATGCTGTAGTTGACGATCAGTCTTGATTTAGTTTAGAGTTGATTTGCTAAAATCACCTGGAAATGAAATGTTGTTGCAGGGCAGAAGTTGTTAAACAATTTAGCAAAGTTTGTAGTGATCATATGGGTGTTTGCTGTGCTTATATTAACTTCCAGTTACACAGCAACTCTGACATCAATTATGACAGTTAACCAAATACGATTAAACTCAAGAGGGGACTATATAGGTTATCAATCAGGTTCATTCACCCAGGGGGTGGTAAAGAACTTGAATTTCAAAGGTCTTAAACCCTATAATTCGGTTGAAGAATATGCTCTCGCTTTATCAAGAGGAAGTAAGCATGGTGGTGTCTCTGCTATCGTTGACGAGGTTCCATTCATTAAGATCTTCCTTGCACACTATCCTACTGGCTACTCCATGATTAAACCCGAATCTAGCACCAATGGTTTTGGCTTTGTGAGTAACCTCCCTTAAATTTAGGTTATGCATTAATCATATGTTGTATTTCCGCTAAAACTAGCCAGATTAAGCATGATATTTTCGCCACATAACATCTTAACATTTATAGTTTTTTATAGTTTTTATTTATTTATGATTTTCCAATTTGATCCTTGTATTTCTGTTCCTGACAATTAAGTGCACGTACTTTAATTAAGCTTAAATCAAATCTAATATGTTTATGTCCATTCATTTAATTACAAATATGCATTGCAAATCAAAACTATATGGAGAAAAGCAGAAAATCAGAAAGTAAGCTTTAGATAGATAGAAGAGAAGAGAAACTGAGAGAAGAGGGAAATTGGTCGTTGTTCATTCATTTTTTATTTATTATGTCCATTCATTTGATTACGTCGTTGTTCATCCTTTTTTGTGTATGTAGGTTTTCCCTAAAGGTTCGAAATTGGTCCATGATATGTCAATGCAAATTCAACAAATGAGAGAAGAGGGAAAGCTTATAGAGATGGAGAAGTTCTGGTTTGATAAGAGAACAATTCTCATGTTTGACAACACAACGAGTGATCCCAATACTCTAAACTTCCATACATTTCGTGGTTTATTTATCGTTACTGGGGTTTCTTCAGTTTTTGCTATTTTTATATTCATAATATTCCCACTCAAAGAAAAATGGTATGCCGTGAAGAAATTCAGATTTAGATATCAGGTTCGAGAAAAGCTGCAGCGTGTAAGGAAGTTCTTCTCTCGCAAAGTTTCCAATGAAACTGAAGAAAACCAGTAGACAGATAGTGCATGAAGCAAACTATTATGGTATGTAGAACTAGATATTGCTCCGTGTAGTCGCTGAGGTTGTACGGGAGCTGTGTGAAATCGTGATTTTGCAATGCTAAGGTTGTGTTTTATTAGGTATATATTGTACTGTCAATCCAGCGATCACAGCCATTATTTCCTCCACTGATGAATCTCTAAATGATGCTGATTGATATCATGACCTCCAAATGA